CGACTTTGCTCGTCTTCATTTGTTGTGAAGAGCTGTCAGGCTAGACTGCCTGAATATAAATGTGTTCCTCTGTACGTGTTAATGTTTGGTTTGTGAGATGGTATCCTTAATTTTTTCTAGCCCCTCATTGATGACTATGGTACCTACACTTATTGCATCTTCCATCGGAGCTGGCTGGGCACCACAATCACGCGGTACACTGTCTGACCCTGCTCATTATGATCCCTCAAAGTCCTCTGCTGCTTTCTTGGAAGGCGAGCTCCAAATTCATCCCAATACCAAGCCAGATGATGCACTGTATCGCACAAAATGGGGTGATGGCATCATGTGCGTTGTCTGTTGCGGTCGAGTTGTTCTCTATGCTGACGTGTAGGTTTGCAGCTTTGATAGTGACTGTTACGACTTGGATGGTATCTGTTGGCGACGCTCAAACAGAGCTTGTGTCGTCAACGGTCTGTGGACGTCCTTGGGCTAGCCCAAGGTTAGGGGTCGTACTTGGCGTGTCTTCGGCAAGTACGATTTAACGCCTATGTCCAAATCGGGTAGCTTATGTCACGCGGGTGCGAGACAATAAGCTATATCGGCCTAGGCTTACGACACCCGAAGGTTAATCGTAAGGATCGTCGTTAATTAGAAGGACAGAAGTCCGACTAGTTAACAGGGGCTTTGCTCGTCGACGAAGTCGATGAGTAAAGATCGAGACTATAGGCTTATCTGCGAAGAGCAGATAAGAAGATAGAATATAGACTGCTGGCGAGGCAGAAGGATCACTCTGGTGAGAGTAGGAGGTCAAGAACCAAGTAGATTCAAGTTAGGGAATATGGTACATGGTAGCGAGTTTATATAGAGGGCAGGAGACGTATTAGTGGGTGATAACTCGTACTACCGGGAGAGGCAATCAGTAAAGGGTAAGACCATAATAGGAAGGCACGTTCGATCTAGGTAGAACGTGCTGGATAAGAAAGTGAGTCAAAGATCAGAATGAGAAGTGAAACACGCAGGGACACGATCGTGCAACTGCGGATCTAAGTATAAGTCGCATGTGCGACTGTGCATCGAGTCAGAGATCAAGAAAGGGAAATAGGGCAAAGGGGATGCGTCATGCATCGTGTCATAGGTTACCATCCGGATGGTAAGGGCAAGGGGACTGTCCGCAGGATCAGTCAGGTGGTGAAACGGAGCATGGGTATGCTTCGTCAGCAAAAGGATCCGGCCAAATGTACTGGCTTTGCTGAAGCGACAGGTAGAGGGCGAAAGGGAATGCGAGGACGACGAGGATGACAAGGGTAAGGTCGGGGTGAGGGTATGATGCGAGGGCCGATACGAGGAGGATCAAGAGAAAAATAGTAGGGGCCCAAGCGTCTAGATGTTCTTGTAACATTACCCCGGTTTCTAGGACTGAAATCAACGAGTTCAGTTATCCATGTTGTCATACCAGGAGGGGTCGCAGTCGAGGTCACGGAGTATGTCCATGGCTTCTAAAGCATTCTCTTCTCTATCTTGTTCGAGTCGTGCGGCATCATGATCATATGCTGCTTCTAACTGACGCATGTCAGTGTAGAATGTTTCTGAGGATATTCCTCGACGAAGGATCTTCTTGCCGTGAAGGCGAGGGCAGAAGGGGGTGAGATGTCCGGGGGCGAACAGTCCACAAATGCAGCAGAAGTATCGCTCGCATTGTTTCTGTTTGTGGCCGTACTGGTGGCAGACCCTGCACTTAAAGTTGCACTGGTAGGGTTGTGGGGTCGTCCTAGTGTGTGTTTCGTTAAGTATCTGTTGCCTGGTGGAATCTTGGCCCGGTACATGTCGAGTGGTGGGTAGTCCGAGTGCAAGGATGCGCTCGGTATTCAATCGGCGACTTCGTCGGGGTCTCCGTGTGGGTGGAGGGACAGGGACAGGGGTATCGTCCCTGATGATAGGTGACCCGATGGATAACATCGGTATGTCATCGGTAGAGATGAACCCTGGAGGGGGAGTGGTCAGACGAGCTTCCAAGCTTGGTTTGTCTTCTTCGTTCGTCTTTCTCCAAGGTGGTGTGCGAGTTTCCTTACTCGACTTTTCTTCTTCGTGCTTCTTCTTTCCTTTGTAGGGAGCAGGTAACGGGTCGTTGGCTACGACCTCGTCATTGATGATGGCAGCTCGGAGTTCCTCGAGCTCGTCACTGGTCATCATTCTGTACTGCTCTTCTTCGTGTTCTGCGAACAGTTTGTCGATTTCTTCGGATGTGAGGTTGGTGGGGATAAGATTGGATCGTTCAGGAGGGGGAGTTGGAGCACTGCACTCGGCAGTACGCTCGACAATGGTCGCCTGTACAGGCGGTTGGTTGTATGCGATTTCTTCTTCTATCTTGACGACTACGTCGCCGAAATTCCTGGATGCTAGAAGGTTCAAGAGGGCCCTCTTGGCCTTCGTGACGGAGTATCGAGTGATCGGACTATGGGGAAGGATGCCATATGGTCCGGTCGTGAAAGCGACAGTGTCAACTGCCCGAAACGCGTTGACAAGCTCCAGGAGAACCGTGTCTTTGGTACGGTCAATATAGCTGTCGAGTCTAAGCGCGTACTGCGCGTCGAGAATAACGGCCTCCCAGAATGCCTTCTGAGAGTCCGGGGTCTGCGTGAAAGGAACGGTGAACTCGTGGATGAGTTCGACGATGGAGGGGGTGGAACCGAGAGAGATGGAGGAGGCATTGGACGAAGTGGTAGACATGGAGATGATGGTAGCAGGTTAACAACTGAGGAGCTTTGTTGTTAGCTTGAGTCTCTTCTTATAGTCCTTGAGCATCTCCGCTGCGGACTTCAAGTCCTTCTCTGGAATCCACGTTCGTTCGGAGGGTGGATAGCCAACCCAGGAGACCAGGTATCGGCGTTTCGTTCCGGTACCCCTGTGTTGGAGGATTGCTTCTATTTCGTAATGTTCTTCCCCGTCGATCAGGTCCGGTGGCGGTTCAGTATAGTTTGGGCCATGCACGTCCGTTTCCTGATAGGAAGATAATTCTGATGCATGGAACGTGGGGTGAACACGCCAGGTGGCAGGGAGTTCGAGGGTGAACGTGATAGGGGAAAGGACCTGTTTAACGGTAAAGGGTCCGTATCGTTTCGGTGCGAGTTTCTTTGAAGGGAAGTGGGTGATCAAATGCGCAGCAGACAGCCACACCTTGTCCCCAACCTTCCAAGGCTGGTACTTTCGCCCGAACGTGCGTTCTGCCATGCGTTGCTGCGCAAGGCTATGACATGCGAGGGCTTCTTCACGGATCTTCGCAAGTTTCTTGACTCGGTCTTCTGCTGCTGGCAGAGCTGAGTCGGGGAAGGCGTAAGGTATGCCTTTGGGTTCATAACCCATCATGAGGTAGAACGGGGATGCATTCCGAGCGGAGTGTCGTCTGGAATTGTGGACGAATTCGGCCATGGGAAGGTGTTTGGCCCAATCGTTAGGAGTTGTCCTACAATAGATCCGAAGGTATGTCTCCAGCTCCTGGTTCATTCGTTCTGTCTGCCCATCCGTCTGAGGGTGATAGGCAGTGGAGAGGGCTACCTGGTAGTCCAGGAGCCGTCCGAGTTCCTTTGCTAGCTTCGAGGCGAATTGTGGGCCTCGATCGGAGATGATCTTGTCGTATAGTCCGAATCGCATAAACACCTTTTTGTAAAATAATTCAGCAACGCCTTCTGCAAGTGATGGTTTTCTTGCAAGGCGAGAAAATTACCCCCTTCGTAAGCCCATGGTCGACCACGACCATAATGGAATCATAGCCGGCGCTCTCCGGAAGATCAGTGATAAGATCGACTGAAACTTGGGAGAACGGTCGAGTACAGGTGGAGGGAATGGGCATCAGGGGAGGTGTGGTGGGATGAGTGTCGGATTTCATCTGCTGGCACATAGTGCAGCCATCAACGTATTGTCGGATAAAGGTGCCCATGCCGGGCCACCAATAGCTTTTCTTGACGTTCCATTCGGTATTGGAACGTCCGGGGTGCCCGGCAGTCGGGTGATCGTGGTGGAGCTCCAGAATACGCTTCCGGAGGTCAGGGGGAACGTAGGCTCGGTCCTTGAAATAAAGGATGCCTTCGTCCATGCGCCAGTCTGACAAGGCAGACTTCATAGGGGGGGCGCAGAGACCGTTCAGGGCGTCAGCTGCTGTCTTCATAGTGAGATCAGCAGGGTCATCATTCGCTGCTTTGAACTTTGACGCTAGGGCAGTGTCAATAAGTTTAACAAAGAGTGAATCTGGGAGGAGGACAACGTCCTCGTTATCTCGATCCGAATTGTCATGATCCGGTCGTCGGGAAAGAGCATCGGGTGCAGCAAGTTTGCTACCCGGGACATGGTGGAATTGGAGGTCGTACTCGCAGAGGGTGAGCTGCCAGCGGGCTTGCCGGTGTGTCAGCGTCTGCGAGGATCGGAAATACAGAAGGTTCTTGTGGTCAGTGAAGACGATCACCGGATGGGGATTGCCTTCAAGGAAGTGTCTCCATGCCTTCAGGGCACGGATAACCGCAAGAAGCTCTCGGTCGTAGATCTGATAATTCCGTTCCGCAGAGTTGAGGGACTGCGAAAGATATCCACATGGGTGGTAGGACCCATTGTCGTCGGTTTGTAGGAGGACTGCTCCTGTCGCAAATAGCGATGCAGTCTGTGGCCAGTGCAAACTGGCGAGAGGGGTCGGGGTTCCGGAGTACAGGTTCAGTGGTAAAACATTGCTTTAGCTTCAGGAATGAGGCTTCGCAATCTGTGGACCAGGAAAACGTGGTGTCTTTCTTTGTGAGGTCGAGGAGGGGGCGAGCGAGGTCGGAATAATGGGAGATGAAATGACGGTAGAAATTACAGAATCCTAGGAAGGATCTGACTTCTTTTACCGTCGATGGAGTCTGCCATTCGCTGATCCCCTTGAGTTTTGCCGGGTCCATGGCTACCTGTCCGGGTCGGATGATCATCCCAAGGTACTCTACCTCTTGGGAGTCAAAAGTGCACTTTTCGGGTTTGAGGAAGAGTTGCTCCTGACGGAGCTTCTCTAAAACCCTACGGGTGCGTATCTGGTGTTCTGCAAGGTCAGAGGAGAATATTAGGATGTCGTCCATATAGACGATGAGCCATCCTTCATCTATCTCCTTGCTGAACGTCTGGTTCATGTAGGCCTGGAACGTCGCTGGCGAGTTACAGAGCCCAAAGAACATTACTTTTGGCTCGAAGAGCCCAAAAGTTGTCGAGAAGGCTGCCTTCCATCTGTCATCAGGGTGAATCAAGATATTGTTGTATCCTGAACGGACATCCACTTTGGTGAAAGTATTTCGCGTCTTTGAGTTTGGCGATAAGAGGCGGAATGAGCGGGAAGTGGATATGCGTTCTTGATAGTCCATTCGTTGATGTATCGGTAGTCCTGACAGGGGCGAAGGGAGCCGTCCTTCTTTCCTACAAAGAAGAAGCCAGAGGCTTGAGGCGACTTCGATGGTTGGATAAAATCTTTCTGGATATGTTCGTCCAGAAATGCTTTAACCGCTTCTGTCTCTTTTGGAGAGAGAGGGTAAGC